AGTAGTGAAGCACTTCACTAAAGGACTATGAATTTTTGTGGTTTCATGGGTTCTCTCTTAAGGGTCCTTTTATTTTTAAAATATAATTCAGAAAGTCAGAAGGTAGGTATGAAATATTAGTAGGTGTTCTCTCACCTTCCGAAAGTATTGAACAGGTCTTACTATGCTTTAACAAAATATCAAATTTCTGCACTTTCGATAATGTATAAATAGACAAAGTTAAAGGGATTAGTTGTTTTTTTTTCTTTTCCAATGTGCTCGAATCAGAACTTCTTGTGCTTAATTAAAAAGAACATTAACAAACCGGAAACAGATTTTCTTGCTGATCCATAATGTGGTATGCATTGATTCTTCCATTCAGTCAGAACATTTAAATCATCTATAGAGGAATCACAAAACCTCTCAAAGAGCAATAAATACTTTCCAACCACTTAGGAATTTAAACTAAGATTGAACAATAGTAGGGGGGAAAAACTGTTGTGGGTCTGCTGGGAACTTGATTTTCCTTTTAGATGCCAAGTGCTTTAAATTCTACATGTACTAAAACCAGGAGAAGATTTCCAAGTAGGGACCGAATCTTTGTAACTAACGAGAACATAATTAGTCACATTTTCAGGCAGGTAGTCAAGAAGTATTATTTCAGCGATTTTTCATGTAGACAGTTTTGACTTTTCCCTTTACTTTTTTCCTCTCTAGGTGGGCTCTCATTCTGCAGGCTCCTCTTGCAAGGTGTGCCTCCAAACATAATTGATTCATATTTGCGAGACTTACAATCAAGCAATCCTGAGGAATATTGAGGGCCTGGGTACTGCCTCTGTACACTCTGCTGCTTTGAAATCTGGTTGAAATGAGAAGGCATTCTCTGTTTTTCCACCAGGCCCCAAGTGTGGTCATTTTCTTTAATGTTGAAGAGAAAAAAAAAACATGTTTGCACAGATTGCTTAATTAAAAATTGCAAACAAAATCTTGTTTGAAGTCAATACTTTCATCATTATTGTCTGTGTTCGGTCACTGTACTTGACAAAAAAGCAAGCTATAGAAGAAGCAAAAGCAGTTATTTTAGTTTCACATAGTAGGCTGTAAATCCTTTTTTTTCCAGAGTAAAAAACATAATACATCATGATAGAATCTTGAAAACCCATCTATCTCTTGATCTAATAAGTTTTTCTAAGCAAAGCAGAGTTATTTCACACAGTCCTGCTCAACACCAGGATCTATGCCCCTTCCCCCGCATTTGAATTCAGTAAAAGATTTCTTTAAGTCCAACTTTCAAACAAATTTTCTCAGTAGCAGGGGAAATATATTCAATAAATGGTACAATAAATTTGAAGTGTTTATGGTGAAATGACACAGTGTTCGTTTATGTGTTTGGAGTTGTATACTCACAGAACTGAGGCCAAAGGCTGGGAGCCGGGATGCTACCATACTTGGGTAAACCTCTACCATGTCTCTTGCTTGGACATCCTGGCCAAATCCACTAGAGTTCCCCACAAAACAGTGAGTGGTAGTGAGGGAGGTCTGTTGCGCACTACAGAGCAGTCACAGATGTAGGTTTTGCTGATGGTATCCATTCAATTTTGTGGAAATCTTTTTAATAGCCTAGCAGCCTGGAAACATTGGTACCAGCCTGTAATCTTTTCAGCAGCTCCTTTCACTGTTCCCTGTGTTATAAAGTTTCAGGTAGGGAAGTAGCACAGAAGTGTGAGGTACCACACCATTATTGTTTATCCCTGCCTCTCCGCTTTATTTCTTTTTTTTTTTTTTTGTCTTTTTCCGTGTCCGGCAACGGATCGCAACCCTCAGTGTCGCCCCCGTACTGGACCGGGACCGGCAACGGGATCGCAACCTTCGGCGTTGCCCCCACGCCTCACTCAGCCAGTGAGCGGGAACCGGTCTGTATGTGGGATCCGAACCCTCGGCGGGAGCGCCGCCGCGCTTCCCAAGCGGCGCACTAGCGCAGTGCGCCACCGGGCCGGCCCTCTGCTTTATTTCTTTTTGGTCTTTTGTTTCAGTGGCTAAATATGTTGTGACTTGCAAGTGGGTCTATAGCATCTTGGGATGACATTGAAAATATCTGCTCTGCTTCCTTTCCAGATTAGAGCTGGGAAGTGTGATGATGGTCATGGATCTGGGCTGATGTTGGCCTCATAAACAAGAGGGTGGATGGTCCAGGTAGTTGCAGGGCATTTGGGAACAAGATGAAACTCTAGTTTGTGTTCAAACTATGGTGGCTCCCTCTTTTTCTTCTCTGATTGGCTGGTGATCTTGCCTTACTGGTTAAAAATATTGGCTATAGTCCTTGCTTCCATGCTCCCAACAACTCTGAAATAATAGTGTACAATCCTTATGTAACACCCATTTTAATCAGAAGATATATTTACACATTATTGGCTAAGATATCTTGCATTAAAGAGTCTGGCTCATCTTTAAAGACATGAAGAGCATATCTCTATGTGCAAACCAAATAAATGACAGTGTGACAAAACCCATTAGTGGGGCCTCTGCAGCCAGGCTGCTGAGTCCGAGCCACGGTGCAACAGCTGAGCTGGCTGCCTGACTCAAATTCAATGACCAGTTTTGCCAAGTTGTGGTCAAGTTTGTCAGACCGTTTATAAACATGGACTAAAAGTGACTATAAAGCATCTTTGTAGAATTTTGGTTTCCCGCTCTGACTTAGGCTCTTCTAATTCTATTTTGTACTAGGTAATATTAATTTTCTACATATGATCTCTCTTCATATTAAGGGTACATACACTGAAAAGTTTCAGTAAGGAAGAATAAGTCTATTTTGAAACTGCAAAGAGCAAAATCAGAAGCCGTTATTGTTATCAGTTTTCCTATAATGTTGTCCTAATTTTGTTTAAATTTTACTCTCTTAAAGAAAAATTATATATTACGGGAATTTTCCAAAAATTCTTTTTGGGAACTAAACATTCATTAAAATTTTAAAGGATCACATTTATCTACTTAGTTTAAAAGAAAGCTTAATAAATGTTCTCATCTAAACTTAATACAGAAGTAGGAAAAAAAAAACCATTAGTTCCAAGAAACATTGGAGGAAGGTTAATATGACTTTAACCACTCATTTTTAAACTGAATTCTGAAACACTCTATTCAGCTTGACAAATGAGTTACTGAACGTCTGATGTGTGCATGGCACTGTGATGGATTCAGCTTGGGACTCCATGTTGAATAAGCCACTTTATGCTTTCATGGAATTTATAATGTGTAAGACCAGTATACAGAGGGAAACATACAAACAGCAGAATACAGGTATAAAAGAATGCTATAAGAATTCAGAAGTTGGATAATGTGGTTTATGTATTTGCTATTATCAATGTCTATATCACAACAGGAATATAGGACATGCTATATTACTTTATTTTAGGATCTTTGGGGATCCTAACTCAGCCTCAGATTCCAGGATCATTTGGAATCTTTCCTGGTGCCTGGAAAGCGGAGAGAGAGATGCTTGTGTTCCAACCCAGTACGGTCCACTCAAAGACAGGTGACTCTGAAACTTCCCTGCTAAGTATGGACCTGGGGTCTTTCAGCCTCCAAGGTTACAGCTATTACATGTCAGGGTTCTCCAAGGAAACAAAACCAATAGGAGATAGATAGGTAGATTAGATAGGTAGGTGGGTAGGCAGATAGATAGATTCTAGGAAGATATTTATTACAAGGTATTGGTCATGCAATTATGGGGACTGGGAATCCCATGATCTGCTGTCTATAAGGTAGCAACTTAGGAAGGCAAGCAGTGTAGTTGAAAGCCTGAGAGCCAGAGAGAAGAGGGATAAGTTCCAGTCAGAGTCTGAAGGCCTGAGAACCAGGAGTGCCGAGGGCCATCAACTGGTTGCATGATGCCCACCCACGTTGGGGAGGTCATCTGTTTTACCTAGTCCACCAATACAAATGCTAATCTCTTCTGGAAACACTCTCACAGACACACCCAGAAATAATGTTTAGCCAGCTATTGCTATTCACATGCTACTTTTAAAGATGTTCTTTCGGGGAGCATTGGACAGTTTTATACTCAGTACCAACCTTAGACTTGGGCGAGAAGGGCCTCTGCACTTCCAAGAGCTTCACTCTGGCCCTCATCCAGCCATATCTCCCTCCACAAAGCAGGGAGTGCATGGACCACGGGGATGTGCTTACCTGGAACCCTTACCTCACCCCTTCTTCTTATAGACTGTACCCAAGCCCACTTTTAGTGGCTTTTGTCTGGGTTCATATCCCTAAGGAAGCACCATACAGTCAATACATGCACCCCAATACCCAGGAGGTGGCCTAGAGGCAAATATTTGCCAGGGGGTTGTAGCGTAGGGGATGTAACTAGAACTTGGGCTTGTGGATTAGCATCTACTTGTGTGCACTTGAGACCCCTCAGGGAGGGAGTTGGGGTGGTAAGAGCCAGGAGACCAGAGACTGTCAGTGGGCAATGATGTTCTGGAGAGTATCTCTGAAGAATCTGACAATTTTATATTCAAACCCGACCTTCCAGGTCATTATAAAGGTATCCTCCTAAAGAATGGAGGATACAACTATTTTATTAACCATGTGTATTAGTCTGTTTCTGTTGTTTATAACAAAATACACAGAACTGGGTAATTTATAAAGAAAATAAAATTTATTCCTTACAGTTTCTGAGGCTGGGAAGTCCAAAGTCCAGGGAACACATCTGGTGAGAGCCTTTGTGGTGGTGACAGTGATGGTAGAGTATCACATTGTGAAAATGGTGGAGCAGAGAGAGACAGACTCTTCTCTGTCTTCTTTTTAAAACCTTCCAAACCACACCCGTGATCACCATTTTATTTCATTCACTAGGCAAGGTCCTACAATCTAATCACCTCTTCAAGGCCCCACCTTTCAATTACCATAATAGGATTTCCCACCCTCTTAACAGTCACAGTGGAGGCTAAGTTTTTGATGCAAAAAACTTGGGGGACACAATTCAAGCTTCTGTGTGTTTTGGGGGGACATAATTCAATCCACCACACCATCCGTCAGCTTGATTTGTAATTTGAGGTATTTATGTATATGGCTTGTGAAAGGTGCCAGCCAGCCCCCAACTGCCTCTGTTCCCTTCCCTGTATCTCCTCCTGCCCCTTCTCAACCATCCAACATCACTCTCACCTCTCCCCTGCCCCCACTTCCTCCTCCCCATTCACCAAGCTACAGGCCTGACCCTCTATGACCTTCTTCACCTAGGTTCCCCTGAACGGAATTCTACAAGTACAAGTTTGGCCTCCTTTTCCTTGGAGTAGGAATAGAATAAGGAACAAGACAGTCTTCTTACCTCCTCTCCCTGTAACATTAATTGATTCTAATTGAACTCTACATTTGTTTTATTTCTTATTATAGTGGGGTTACTGAATTATCATCCCTGCACCAAAGACTCAAGTGACTGCTACATGCAGGTATTTATAACATCCTGTATACCTAAACGTTGATAACCTAGAATGGACTAGAGAAATCTACTGGAACAAGTTCCCCTGATTCTGAGGGCTGTCACCACCCTCCTAAAGTCACCTGATGATCTCTCTCTGTCCCCAAATGCACTGGCCTGAGCAATCTCTGGCCTAGCCAAATATTTTTCTTCTATCTGGAGTAGATTGTTAGGAGCAAAATATCAGGGAGGTGACAAAGGCAGTTAAACACTCCTGGAGGGGACACCTAGGGGTGGTTTGGGACACTGGCTGACTCAAATAAGTCATTAAAGAAAAAAAAACTTACACTCAAGTATTATAATCCATCGTAATTGCTTTTTCTCCCAAGCAATTGCTTTAGAAAGAGTCTTTCTGTTCTTCCCAGATAAGCACTTACACAGCTATCCACAGGCAACAAATTCCCTCCTGCTTTCACTCTACGCTCACCTTTATTGTAGTCTTGGAGCCCAGGAAAACATCTTAAGGACATTATACACCAATTTCTACAAATTGGCTTAAGTTATTAAGAAGT